AAAGGCGTCGAGGGCGGGGATCGAAAGCGAGGGGTGGGCGGAGAGACGCGCCGGCAAAAGTCCTTAAGGATCGGCGTTCACCACGCCGACGCGGTCGTATGGGGACCAGTGTATAGAACGCGCCTCTCTCGACGTCCTCTCCCATCGCGACCAGTCGGTCGAACGTCGGGCTCCCCCCGAGCGTCTCCTCGAGTCTCCCCTCGCTCCACAGCAGCGGGTGCGTTTCGCGCAGCGTCTCCGCGTCCGGCAGCGTCTCGATCCACGCGTCGTGCGCGCGCGTGGAGCCCTCGCGTCCGTCGCGCTCGTGCAGGAGCTTCATCGCGAGCCTCTGAGGGCCATTCCATACAAAAACAGTTCACCGGTCAGTTGAAACGGGTACCGATCAAACGTTGAAACCGAGCGGTGGGTGAAAAACTTTTGTATAGAACGCACCTGATAATCGCTCAAGCTCGCCGCGCACGCGCCGAGGCGCGCGTCGCGCAGGACGCTCTCGGACGTGATCATCTTCGTCAGCGGGACGACGACGAGGACGTCGCCCGCGGCGATGGGACGCGTCGCGACGCCGCCGAAGCCGCGCGCGTCGGAGATGCGCCGCACGGCGACGCCGCGCGGATCGAAGTCGTCCGCGCCGACGCGCATCCACGCTTCGAGCGCGGCGCCTCGATCGTCCGGGGAGGACGCGTCGTTCGGCGGGGTCGCATCGGACGCGGACGCGGACGCGGACGCCATGCGCGGCGCGACGACGCGCGGCGCGGGGCGCGACGCGCGGCGGGGTCGCGGGAGTGGTGGCGATGCGGTCGCCGCCCAGCTGGCCAGCCCGGCCGGCGCGCGCATCGGAATGCATATGCCGGCGCGAAGGGATTGTTACGAAAACCATTGCCCTAGGGCGGGGCGCGCGTCACAACGATGTGGGCGGCGACGGCGGCGGCGAGCGCGTCCTCGCCGGCGGTCCCTCCGCCGCCGCGGCGGGACTACGCGTCGCTGTTCGCGCGCGGGAAGAACGGCGGATGCCCGCCGCTGTTCTTGGCGCCGATGGAGGGCCTCGGCGACGCGCGCCTGCGTCGGAGCCTCTCGCTGAGCGTCGGCGGCTTCGACGAGGCGTGCCGCGAGTTCACGCGCGTCCCGGGGACGCTGTCGCAGGGCGCGAAAGCGGAGAAGCTCCTGCGCGGGATCGCGCTGAACGGGTACGACGCCGAGGAGCTGTCGCGCCCCGCGAACGCGTCGGTGTTCGACGCCGTCGGCGTGTCCCCGGGCGACGTCGCAGAGTCGAATCGATTCCGCGACGACGACGACGACGACGCGGGGCCGCCTCTGCTCGCCGCGCAGCTCATGGGCTCGAACCCAGACCTCCTGGAGCACTGCGCGCGCGTCCTCGCGCGCGAGACGCGCGCGCCGAGGGTGGACCTCAACTGCGGCTGCCCCGCGAACGTCGTCACGGGCAAGGGCGCGGGGAGCTCGCTGCTTCGCGACCCGAACGACGTGTACGCGTGCGTCTCAGGTGCGTTCTATACAAAAGTTTTTCACCCATCGCATCGCTCGGTTTCAACATTTGATCGCGTCCCCTTTCAACTGACCGGTAAACTTTTTTTGTATGGAATGGCCCTCAGCGATACGGCGCGGCTGCGAAGGCACCGGGTGCGTGCCGACGCTTAAACTTCGCAGCGGGTACGACGACGATAGTCTGCTGCGCGAGAATCTTCTCGCCGCGCAGGAGGGCGGCGCCGCGTTCGTGACGCTGCACCCGCGGACGCGGCGGCAGGGGTACTCGGGACGCGCCAACTGGAAAGACATCGCGATTGCGGTCGAGACGCTCGACGTCCCGGTGATCGGGAACGGGGACGTGACGTCGCCCGAGCGCGCGCGAGCGCTGCTGTTCGAGACCGGATGCGCGGGGATCATGGTCGGGAGAGGCGCGGTGCAAGATCCGCTCGTGTTTCGGAGGATCAAGGCGGAGTTACGCGCGGGGGATTGGTCCGAAGGCGGCGGCGGCGCGGCTTCTTCTTCTTCTTCGTTCGGGTTGACGCCCGCGGAGGAAGCGTCGGAGGTGGTCCGGTTCCTGCGCGCGTTCGCCGCGGAAGTCTTCGCGGACGACTTGCTCATATCACCTCGTAAGCGAAGGCGGAAGCTCAAAGGAGGCGCCGCCGCGGAGGAGCAGTTCAAGCTCGGGAAGCTGAAGCAAATCGTAAAGTATTTATTCGCCGGGAACGCGTCGCTGTCGCCGCATCTGAGTCGCGTGCTGTCGTGCGACTCGATCGATAACGGGATCACCGCGCGAGAGATGTTGGACGTCGTGTGCGATCTCGTCGCGACGTCCTGGGACACCCCGACGGACGTGCTCGTGGACGCGTTCTCGATGCGGACGAGTTACGAAGGAGGCAGACTCCTCGTTTAGCGCGTGAGTTCATAGTATTCGAAAATAGGTTATGAGCGCGATGGTATCTGCGCTCGCTCGCTCTCGCACCGCTTTCATTTTTTTGTGCGGCGTTGTTGTAGTATATAGTGGTACATTCCCCCGCGGACGCGAGTATTATTCGTCCCCGAGGGAAAGCACTTCCCGACGCATGCATTACCATGGTCCGGTCAGAAGGGTATGTTCTCAGCCCGCGCGCGGACGCGCGCGAGCACCCCCAGTGCCGTCATTTTTTTCTTTTTCTTTTTTGGTACAGATCCCCGTCGACGGCGACGGGAGTCCGCGTTTCGTTTTCGTCTTCGTCTCGAAGAGATCGAACCGAACCGAATTTTAAACCTTCGCCGCGGGCTTGGCCGCGTCCGCGACCTCCTCCTCCGCGGGCTTCTCCCCCGGCTCGTACTCCAACGGCGCGGGGTTCCGCGTGTCCGTGACGGGCTCGTCGAACGGGAGCTGAATCAACGGCTTCCTCGACGCGTCGCCGCGAACGGTCACGTCGAGGAACGAGAAGAACATCGTGCCGAAGGCGCTGAAACACACGGCGAGGATGAACGTCGACAGCGTTCGCACGCCGCCGAACGCCTGCAGCCCGCCTCCTTCGATCGTGGTCCCGTCCGGCAGCCAAAAGTTCCCAGCCGCGCCTTGGGCGCGGTGCACGATCGGCGGGGCGAGTTCCGCGACCGCTTTCGTGGAGTGCACGGCGCCGTAGGTATCCGTCCACGCGCCGTCCAGGTTGAGTATCGCGCCTTGAATGATCACCGCGAGGACGCCGCTGACGACGCCCATCAGCGACCCAAACTCCGTGGGGGCGACGATGAACTTGTTGACGTCCTTGCGGATCATCCCGAGGTACAGCGCCGGCGCGGCGACCGCGCAGACGAGGTCGACCATGAGGAAGAGAGACAGAACGTCAATCTTATCCGCGGCGACGACGATGGCGCCGATGTTGAGCGCGAGGCAGACCACGCGGACGCTGTTCACCGGGAGGCCAAACTTTTTGATGTCCCTGTACATCACGGACGTCAGTCCGTTCTGTATGGAGTCCACGGAAGAGACGCACAGCGAGGTGGCGAAGATGAGGACGATGAAGTGCCACCCCTTCGCCAAGTTCTCGACGAGGTAAAAGTACGCGAGGTAGTGGAACTTCGTGTACGCGTTGAAGTCGTCGTTGTACTTGGCCGCGGCGACGACGCCGAGGACGCCGAAGAACCACATCACGATGAAGATCAACCCCGCGCCGAGGGCGAGACCCTTGCGAAGATCCACGGTGGACTTCGCGGCGTACACGCGCTGCCACTGCCCGGCGTTGAAGAGCTCGGCGGAGATGATCGCGATGATGAGCGTGACCATGACGACGAAGCCCGATGTTCTCGAGTGCGACACCGAGTCCATCTCGGACGGCGTGACCGGGTTCTCGGCCATCAAGAAGATCGCGAAGAAGAGCATGAAAGAGATGATCATCACGCCCTGGATCCGGTCGGTGATCACGGATGCGGGGAACCCCGCGGCCATGGTGTACGACATCGTGACGAGCGCGACGACGCAGAGGACGACTTTACGCGTGTAGCTGGTCCTGTCGGCGAAAAGCGTCGCGACGTTCGCGATGCTCCCGAGCTCCGCGCAGAGGGAGATGAACATGTACATCACGCTCATGAACGCGGCGACGAGTTGCGTCAAGCGGCCGAAGCGCTGGAGCGCAAAGTCCGTGACGCTGAAGCCGTTTTTGTCGCCGACGAACTTTTTGATGGCGGGCGCGATGGCGATGAGGAGGAGCGCGGGGGACGTGCTTCCCATGGTGTATCCAAAGACGCCCCACCAGGAAAGGCGCGTGTTCGCGCCCATCTCCGTGGAGCCGTAGTACACCGACGCGCCCATGCCGCCGGCGAAGTACGAGAGCCCGACTTGGCGCCACGGCAGCGAGTTCTTCGCGCTGAGCCAGTGCACGTTGGGGGTCTTGACGCTGTTGAAAAACTCGAGCGGCATCATGAACGAGCCGTCCGCCTTGCGCAGCGCGTAGACGATCGCGGTGATGAAGAAGAACAGCGTCGTGCACGTCACCGTCGCGATCGCGGACTCGGAGCCGAGCGTCGGGTACGTCATCTTGATTCACGCGGCGGCGCGGGTCACGCGACGACGTCGAAGGTCGTTGGGGATTAGGGTTTTCTCTTTTCTGTGAGAAACGAAACGCGGCGGCGGCGCGAAGTGCGGCGGCGTTCGTTCGCGTCTTGAAGCGCGTAAAAGCACGGCGATCCTTGCGCAAGAATTACCTTGGTCAAGTTATGACGATGTCGTCTCAGGGGCGCGATGTCCTCGCGGTTCCCACTCGTTCGCGCGTGCGTTTGTGCCGCCGCCCGTCCCCTCACGTCACGTCAACGTCACGGAAAAAGGCGAATTTGTCTCGAAAATAACGGATAACGGTCTTCGGGTCAGTTTGATCGGCTAAAAATCGGGAGTGGTTTGAAACTCATATGGCCCTACCAAACAATACCTTTCATACTCGATGAATTCGTCCCGTTCACCCTTAAAGGATTTTACCCGACGCTTCGACGAGCTTTTTTTGATGAGAGGAAGAAATAGATTGCCCTCTCCTCTCGCGCGGCATTGCACGGGCCGGCGCGAGGAGAGCGCGCGCGCGGGGATCGCGCGTCGACAGCCGCGATGATCCGCCGCCCGAAGGAGCACTTCCCCGCGGCGAACGGCGCGGACGGCGCGCGCGCGAACGGCGCGAAGGTGACGTCCTCGAGCTTTTTCCCGCCATCGTCGCATCCGGGCGCGGCGAACGGAGGCGCGACGCGGCGCGTCGACGCCGCGGGCGGCGCGGGGCGGAACAACTTCGCCGCGCCGCCGCGGCAGCCCGTCGCCGCGCCGCGGACGCGGAGGGACGGCGTCGGCGGCGCGAGCGGCGCGGAGGCGGACCCGAACCCGCTGCGCGCGGGCGCGCCGTCGTCGGGCGCGGGCGCGGGCGGATGGGTCTCCACGCGCGGGCAGCTCCACCCTCGCGACGGCGGCGGCGCGGCGGGTATGGCGGCGGCGCGATCGCGCGCGCCGTACCTCCCGAGATCGCCTCCGTCCTCGACGTCCTCCGCGGCGGCGCAGACGGACGCGATCGATCCGTCCACGGCGTCCACGCCGAACGCGCAGCTCAGGTTCCAAGCGTCGCTGCAGCGCGAGCTGAGAGACGCGAAGGAGGAGCTCGTCCGCGCGCAGCTCGAGAACGTCGCGCTCGCGTCTCGCCTGCGCGAGTCGAGCTCGCCGGGGGCGTCGTCGCGGCGAGGCGCGGAGAGCGACGTCACGTGCGGGACGATCGCCGGGATGCTCTCCGAGGAGGACGCCGACGAGCGACGCCGCGAGCTGCTCGAGGCGATTCGAGACGAGCGCGACGCGAGAGGACGCGTCGAGGAGCGCGCGCGCGCGTTGGAGGCGGAGCTGAGCGCGAAGGACGATAAGCTGCGGGCGGCGACGGAGATGATGCACGAGATGCGCGAGGCTCTCGTGGAGGCGTACGACGGGACCGCACATGGCGCGGGGAGAGACGCGGGGCCCGCGGGGACGACGACGCGGGGAGGAAAAAGCGGCGCCGACGACGACGACGACGCGGCGGCGGCGACCGCGACCGCGGCGACCGCGACCGCGGTGAGCCCCGGGGACATGGCCGCGGGCGCGGTGAAGGGCGTCGTCTCCCTCGTCGGCGTCCTCGTCGGGACCGCCGGGTTCGAGCTCGTCTGGCCGCTCGTCCTCGCGGCGCTGTGGCTTCGGTATCAACTGTGGAGCGCGTCGTGAAGCGTTCGCGCTCGTCTCTCCGCTCGAGCGAACACCCGCTAGGCCTAGGTTCTACGACGCGTCTAACTAATAACGACGACACGCGCGCTCGACGACGCTCGCTCGAATCAAATCGGATCGGATCGGATCGGATCCAATCCAATCACTTCCCGCGCGTCGTCGTCCTCGTGCTCGGGGTTCTGCTCTCGCGAAACGTGATGGACACCCGCCGCGGGTCCAACAAGTTTTCGTTCGCGATCGAGTGCGCGAACGCGTACCTCGCGTCGCCGCTCTGTATCTGCAGCGACCGCCGCGGCAGCCGAACGTCCACCCTATCGCTCCCGCGGGTCCCGCCGCCCGACGACCGCGTCGTCGTTCTCTCGTACGTCATGACGCACTCGCCGCACAGTGAGAGGTTCACGAGCACGTCCGACGAGAGCTGCCGGTCGTCCACGTGCGAGAGCAGTCGGTCGCCGAGGCGCTTGTCGTACGATATCGCGTTGGCCTCGTTCGGCGAGAAGCGCGCCAAGAGCGCGTGCGCGCCTCGCATCTTCTCCGCGACCGCGAGCAAACGCGGCGGCATCTCGCGCGTCGGCGGGCTCACGGTTCGGCGCTTCAGGTCGACCCGCACCCCCCACGCTTTCCCTCTGTGCGCGCCGTTGAACGTCGACGGCTTCCAGTCGTGGATCCCGCGCTCGCCGTCGTCGAGAAAGGCGACGAGCGCGTTCTCCTCGTCCTCGGTGATGAAGTCGAGGAGGAGATGATGCCCGGGGAGCGACGGCGTGTTCGAGGTGGACGTCGCCGCGGACGCGCGCATGAGCCGCGCGAGTGTGTCTTTGACGTTCGACGACGCGTCGCCCGGGGCGTCGTTCGCGATGTCGTCGTTCCCATCCCTCGAAACGCAAACGTCGTCGTCGTCGTCGTCGTCGTCCCCGCGTCTCCGCGCGTCGTCGTCCTCGAGCGCGTCCATCCCGCTCGCGGCCATCGATCTTCGCCACGGCGTCCCTCTCGCGGTGTGCGCGATCTGCCCGTGGACGTTGACCGCGGCCGCGGCCGTCTCGCCGCCGCCGCCGCCGTCGCGTCTCCGCCGCGTCGCTTCCTCCCTCTCCCCGCATCGGCCGTCGTCGAGGTGCTCGTTTATGAGCGTCGCGGGGACGTCCGCGAAGCACGCGGGACACGCGACGAATCTCGACCCGCGGTCCGCGGCTCGACCGCGCCCCCCGGCGCCGCCTCGCGGGGAGAGGAACGCGTCGAGCCGCGCCTGGTGTCCGACGCGCGGCGCCGCCCTCTTCGGCATCGCGCGCTCGCGCGGCCCGCGCGCGCGCGCGCCGATCTGCTGAGTAGTCCAAAATCATAAAGCGCGCCGCTGACGCCGCGCCGTCGACGAAAAATATCCCGAGTGCGCTGGCTTGCGCAGGGAGTCAGTAACGAACGTACGTTTTGGTACCATTTCAGTTCGGCAAGTTTGCCCGCGAGTCCCAGCACAAAAAGCACATCACCGTGATCGCCTTCATCAGGGCTCATCGCGGTCGTGATTTCGCGCTGGGACTCGCGGGCATTAGGGAGCTACGCGCGCTTGAAGTTGCGCCTCGGTCAAGCAACCTTTGAAAAATTCGCGATGAATTCTCTGGTTTGATCGATACATCGATCAACGCTGAAAGCAAAAAAGTTGAAATGGTACCACCGCGATTTTCAGACTATTTCTCATACAAAAAGTACTACGCCGTTACCCACTCCCTGGCTTGCGCTGGGTTTTTGAACCGGCGCCGAGGTACTTTAACGTTGAGGGGCGCGCGCGATCGGGCAGATCTACGTCGCCGCGTAACGCGCACGGCGCAGAAGATCGCGCGTTAACGTCAACCATGATGGCGTCGTTCGCGGCGGCGGCTCGCGCGGTTCCAACCCGCGCGTCGTCGCGCCCCGCGGCCCCGTCCGCGTCGCGCGCCGTCGTCGTCGCCGCGGGGGCTGGGACGCCGATCAAGTTCGCGAAAAGCGGGGGGGATCGCCGTCGCGATCGCCGCGTCCTGCGCGCGCCCCCCGCGCGCGTCGCCTCCGAGGAGTGCACGCCGCCGTCCGTGGAGGACGCGAACCTGACCGTCGTCGTGGACGGCGCGAGCGATCCCGCGAACACGGTCATCAGCGTCCGCGCGACGAACCGCCCGGGAATTTTACAACTGATGAAGATGACGCTCCAAGACCTCGGCCTGACCGTGGAGAGAACCGAGGTGGACATGGACAGCGATGGCGTCGTGTCGGACACGTTTTACGTCACCGGCGACGACGGCATCAGGGTCGAGGATCCGTACGATCTCGCGAACATCGAGCAGGTCGTGACGTTCGTGATGAACGCGCATTACCTGAAATCGAGCGAGGTTTCGCGCCCCACGGACAAAACCGCCAACATCGACAACCCTCGGAAGAAAGACATGCTGTACTCGCTCATGGACTCGTACATCAAGAACGACGTGTTAGCCGTCCAGAAGAGCATCGTGAACCACGTGGAGTACACCCTCGCGAGGTCGCGGTACCGCTTTGACGACTTCGAGGCGTACCAGGTGCGATAGCGCGGCGACGTCGATCCATCCGTCCCCTGCCGCGAAACCCCAAACATCTCTCTCCGCCGGTTGGATGTCGCTTTTTCCGCGTCGGGCGGCTGGTCGTCGCGGCGGCGATCGCTCTTCGCTCTTTCTCCGCCACCCTCGAGCGAGCGTCGCGCTGACCGACCCCACCCCACCCCACCCCACCCCTACCTCGTCCGCGATCGATAGGCGACGTCGCTGTCCGTGCGCGACCGCCTGATCGAATCTTGGAACGACACGCAGCAGTACTTCCGCGAGCAAGACCCGAAGCGCGTGTACTACCTCTCCATGGAATTCCTCATGGGGCGGTCGCTGACGAACTCGCTGTGTAACCTCGAGCTCGACCATCCGTTCAAAGAAGCGCTCACGCAGCTCGGGTACGACATGGAGAACCTCGTGGGGAAGGAACGCGACGCCGCGCTCGGCAACGGCGGCTTGGGGCGACTCGCCGCGTGCTTTCTCGACTCGATGGCGACGGAGAACCTCCCCGCGTGGGGGTACGGGATCCGGTACCAGTACGGGATGTTCCGACAAGAACTCCACGACGGGTTCCAGCACGAGAACCCGGACTACTGGCTCAACTTTGGGAACCCGTGGGAGATCGAGCGGCCGAACATCGCGTATCCGATTAAATTTTACGGCAACGTCGAGCAAGGCGACGACGCGCAGGGACGGCAGACGTTCTTGTGGTCCCCGGGGGAGGAGATCTCCGCGGTGGCGTACGACACCCCGATCCCGGGCTGGAACACCCCGAACACGATCAACATGCGTCTGTGGAGCGCGAAGCCGAGCCGCGAGTTTGACTTGGAGAGTTTCAACACGGGCGATTACGTCCAGGCGATTCTCGCGAAGCAACGCGCGGAGACGATCAGCGCGGTGCTCTACCCGGACGATCGGACGTACCAGGGCAAGGAACTCCGTCTGAAGCAGCAGTACTTCATGGTCAGCGCGACGCTTCAGGACATCATACGTCGGTACCTCGTCACGCACGGCGACGACTTCAACGAGTTTCCGGAGAAGGTGGCGCTTCAGCTCAACGACACGCACCCGACGATCGGCGTGCCCGAGCTGATGCGTCTGCTCATGGACGACCACGGGTTGGGGTGGACGAAGTCGTGGGAGATCACCACGAGGGTGTTCTCGTTCACGAACCACACGGTTCTTCCCGAGGCGTTGGAGAAGTGGCCGGTGGAGCTCGTGGAGACTGTGCTGCCGCGGCACATGCAGATCATCTACGACATCAACTGGCGGTTCACGCAGGAGCTGAGAGGGATCTTCGGGGACGACACCGAACGGATCTGGCGCATGAGCGTGATCGAGGAGGGCGAGAACATCGAGAAGTCGGTCAGGATGGCGAACCTCGCGCTGGTCGCGAGCCACACCGTGAACGGCGTCGCGGCGATTCACTCCGAGCTCATCAAGACGACCATCTTCAAGGACTTTTACGAGATCATGCCGGAGAAGTTTCAAAACAAAACGAACGGCGTCACCCAGCGCCGGTGGCTCGCGTTCTGTAACCCCGAGCTCTCGGAGTTGATCACGGAAACGCTCGGCACGGACGCGTGGATCAAGGAGCTCGACTTGCTCCAGGGCTTGCGAGAGAAGGCGGACGACGCGGCGTTCCAAAAGAAGTGGGCGGGGATCAAGCTTCGCAACAAAGAACGCCTCGCCGCGTTGATCAAAGAAAAGACCGGGATGGACGTCCCCACGGACGCGCTGTACGACGTCCAGGTCAAGCGCATCCACGAGTACAAGCGCCAGCTCCTGAACGTCATGAGCATCATTCACCGTTACAACGTGTTGCGGTCGATGAGCTCGGAGGAACGCGCGAAGGAAGTCCCGCGCGTGTGCGTCATCGGAGGCAAAGCCGCGCCAGGGTACGACATGGCGAAGCGCATCATTAAGCTCGTCAGCGCGGTCGGGGACAAGGTGAACGGCGACAAAAACATCGACGACAAGCTGAAGGTGGTGTTCATCCCGGATTATAACGTCTCGAGCGCGGAGGTTATCGTCCCGGGTGCGGAGCTCTCGCAGCACATCTCCACCGCGGGGACGGAGGCGTCGGGGACGTCGAACATGAAATTCGCGATGAACGGCTGCCTCATCATCGGCACTATGGACGGCGCGAACGTCGAGATCGCGGAGGAGATTGGCACGGAGAACATGTTCATCTTCGGCGCGCGCGCGGACCAAGTCCCGAACCTGCGAAGGGAGCGGTGGAACTTTGACGCGCCCGGCGGTTTCTACGAGATCGTCAACCAGATTCGCGGCGGCGAGTTCGGGTGGGCGGACTTTTTCAACCCCGTCATGGACGCGGTGTCGAGCGAGAACGACTACTACCTCCTCGCGAACGACTTCGAGGACTACCTGCGCGCGCAAAAGGAGGTGGACATCGCGTACAAGGACACGGCGCGGTGGAACAAGATGTCGATCCTCAGCGTCGCCGGGTCGGGGAAGTTTTCGTCGGATCGCACGATTCGTCAGTACGCGGAGGAGATTTGGGACGTGAAGCCGATGCGACGGCCGATGCCGACGGCGACGACGCCACCGAAGCCGTACGCGCCCCCGGGGAAGCTGTGAGCGCGAAGCGAGCGCGGGCGGGCGGCGGGTGATGGATGGTGATACTTATTTCGTCAAACTCGTGAGAGGTACGTACTTTCGGAAGTACGAAGGCGAGTGCGAACGACGGGGATCGAGGGCGGGGTCTCGGGGGGGAATTATGTCGCGGGTTCAGAAGTCTTATGAATCGACATAAAGTTGCAGTTTACCTATCGTCGACGCCTACCGCACGCGCGATCGATCGGAAGCGGAACAGATCGCGTCACGCCCGGATATAGGCGACGACGCCCGCGCCGTACCTCGTCGCGTCCAACCGCCGCTCCATCGCGCGAACCTCCTCCTCGAGCGCGATCGTCGTCGCCTGCGCCTTCACGAGCTCCACGCTCCGCCGCTCCGCCGCGTCCGCGTTCCTCCCAGACTTCCCCACCCTCGCCGCGGCGTCCCTCTCCCCCGTGTTTTCCACGTCCCCCAGCGCCTTCGCCTCGAGCCGACGGACGATCCGCGAGACGGCGTCGTCGACGCGCGACGCCGACGCCCTCTCGACGCCGCCGAGACCGCCGCCGAGACCGCCACTTCGCGCCGCGGTCGCGTCGAAGCTCGCGCGCATCAACCTCGGCGCGTCCTCCTCCTCCTCCTCCCCCAACTCCTCCGCGCGGCGGCGCGCGGACGTCGCCGGCGACCGCGGCGGTCGATACACGCTCCCGCCGGGCGCCACAGCCGCGGGGACGTCGCGGTTATACTGCTTCCCGTTTGGATCGAACGCGCCGTGGCCCGGTCCCGGGTACGACGCCCTCGCTACCTCGTCCGCGAGCGGGCCGACCGTCGTCCACGTCGTCACCCCCGCGCCGTCGATGTTCACGCCCCACGTGGACGGATACGGCAGGATCTCGTCGACGCGCGCGAACGTGAACGCGAGCTTGGTGCCGTAAAACACCGGATCCGTCTCTCGCCGCTCGTTCCAGCACCGGCACTTCGCGATCGCGCGCGGGGCGTTCAGAAGCATGGAATTTCGCGGGAACATGTTCTTATCCCTCCTCAAACATCCCTCGATCGTGGGCGAGACGTAGAGACCGCCGCCGTGGCCCGGCGCCGCGGGATGGCACACCGTGGAGCCGACGTCGTACCGCGTGACGCCGTCGTAGACGGAGACGTAGTGGTAGGCGTCCCCGCGCGGGCCTCCCGGGCCGACGACGGCGACGACCTTGTAGTACGACTTGGCGTACCACGGCGGGGTCAGCGCGCCGCGCGAGATGACGTACGGCGCGTCTTTCGCGCTGTACAGCGACGACAGCGACGACGCGTCGCTTCGCGCGACGCTGCTTCGCAGCGCGGAGGAGGAGGAGAGACCATCGCGGTCGTCGTCGCCGTCGCCGTCCCTCGCCTCGTCCCCCGCGGCGTCCCCCCCGAGCGCGACGCGATACATCGATGCGAGGACGGACCGCACCTCCGCGTCCGTCGCGCGGCGGTCGTCGTCGAACGACGCGCGCATCCCGAGTCGCGTTAACATCGCGTCCGCGGTCTCCTCCTCCTCCTCGTCATCGTCCCCCCGCGACGTGCCGACGCCGACCGCGCTGCCGAGCCGGCGCAGCGCGTCGCCGACCTCGCTCCGCACGCTCGCGTCGTCTTCGTCGTCGTCGTCGTCGCGGCGCGTCGTCATCGCGCCCAGCGCGCGCGCGCGATGGCGGACCGAGGGAGCGTCGTCGTCGTCCTGGTTCCCCCACGCCACGCACGGCGAAAACGAACCGGAACCGCTACGCGCCGCGCGAGCCAACGAGCAGACGCGGATTTCGAAATCTGTGGGCACCTCGCTTCGCGCGCGCGTCGTCGTCGTCGTCCACAGCGAGAGGCGCGGCGGGAAGGAAGGATGGTCCCCGAGGTCCTCCTCGCCCTCCTCGGCGTCCCCGGGGAGGTCATCGTCCTCGTCCCCGGGAGCGAGCTCCACGGCCCGGAGCGCTTCCGCGTGTCCCCGGATCTCCCGTTCCTCGAGCCTCCCGAGCGCGCGTCGCTCGACCGACTCGTCTCGCTCGGGTACGCGTTCCGATGCTTGGAGCGATTCGTCGCGGACGAGGGCGAGTCCGGGGTGCTCGCCGCGGTCGGCGGCTCGTCGCGGTCGGACGGCGGCGGGAGTCTGTACCGAAGAGCGCTCGCGGCTGGCGTCGGCGAGGTTCTGTCGTCGTACGAGGCGGCGGTGCTTCGACTGGAGCAGGATGTGCTGCGGGGGGCGACCCCCGCGCTGCCCGCGGCGTTGGAGAGCGCGCTGAGCTCGTTCGCGCTCGTGCTGCCGTCGCTGCGCGCGGTGTTGAGACCCGTGATGGAGTCCGACGGTGCGCGAAACGCGCGTTTCCGCGCGAGAGGGCGCGAGATCGTCCGTCGTTCGTCTCCTCCCGATTCGTTTCGCGTTCGCGTTTCAAAAAACGTCGACTCGCGGCTGACGATCGATCGATCCTCCCTCCCTCCCTCCCCACAGACCTTCGCGGCGCGGCGTTGCTGCACCACCTCCACGCCGCCGCTCTCGCCGCGGGCGCGCCGCAGCTCGAGTCCGCGCTCAGGGCGCTGCGGTCGCGGTGCTACCGCGCGCTGTACCAGCAGCTCCTGGCGTGGACCGTCCACGGCGCGCTCGTGGACCCCTTCGGCGAGTTTTGGGTGCGACGCGTCGACGGCGGCGGCGGCGACGGCGGCGTGTGGCTCGGCGACTTCGACGCCGACGGGCGCGGCGTCGCCGCGGCGGGCGGGTGGAGCGGGTACGGCTTGCGCGAGGAGGACTCGCGGCGGCGACGCGGCGGCGGCGGCGGCGGCGGGAGCGGCGCCTCCGACGACCCGTTCGACGGCGACGACGGCGGCGAGGACGAGTGGCACCGCGGGTTCCTCGTATCGCTGGAGAACCTCCCGCCCGGGATCGAGCTCCCGGCCGCGGAGGCGACGCTGTTTATCGGCCGCGCGGTCAGGGTGCTGTCGAGCCCGCGCGGCGCGTTCGCCGGGAAGTCGCTGTTGCCGGCGGAAGTCGCGGCGGCGGCGACGGCGTCGCTTCGCGCGTTGGCGAAAAACGACGGCGAGTTCGACCGCGCGTCGTTCGAGCTCGTCCTCGAGACGATCCGCGCGCCGATCGCCGCGCGCCTGGGGCGGCTCGTCGTCGCGAACGCGAGGCTGCTCGACCACCTCGGCGCGCTGCGCGCGTATTTCCTCCTCGGCCGCGGCGATTTCTTTCAGACGTTTTTCGAGGAAGCCGCCGGGTTGTTGAGGGCGCCGCCGCGCTCGAGCACCGCGGAGGCGGACATGGCGGCGCCGTTCGCGCAGGCGGCGCTGAAGTCGTCCGCGGTGAACGACCCGCTCGCGAGCCGGTTCAGGCTCAGATTTAACCCCGCGGAGCGCGGCGGGGGCGACGACGACGTCGGCGCGAGCGCGCACTTCCAGCCGAGGCGCGCGGCGGCGGCGGCGGCGGCGACGACGACGAGCGGCGGCGGCGCCACCGCGCGCGTCCCGTCGTTCGACGGCTGGGACGGCCTCGAGCTCGACTACGCCGTCCCGTGGCCGCTCGGGCTGATCCTCACGAAGAATACGATCGCGCGGTATAACAAGCTGTTCCAGTACCTCCTCAGGCTCAAGCGCGCGCAGCTCGCGTTGGACGACGCGTGGTGCCGGTTGCGGAGGAAAGGCGGCGGCGACGCGCCGGGCGGCTCTGACGCGGACCGCAGGGTTCAAGCCGACCACGTCTTCTACGGCGAGGGCGTTCGCGGAGGAAGCCGCGGACGCGGGCGAGGCGAGCGCGGCGGTGCGTTCGAGGCGTGCCAGCGCGTCAGGCACGACATCGCGTTCTTGGTGAACAACTGGACGACGTACCTGCAGGTGGACGTCATCGAGTCGCAGTTTCGACGCGCGGCGACGCGAATCGCGGAGGCGCCGGATGACTTCGCGGAGGCGCAGCGCGCGCACCGGAGCTTCCTCGCGGCGTGCACGGCGCAGAGTTTTCTCGACCTCGAGAGCGTGAGCGCGATCATCGAGAACATCATGCAGCTCGCGGGGGCGCTGTGCGCGGAGGTGAAGGGCCTGCCGCCGGACGGGAGCCCGCCGTCTCCGGAGACGATGGTCGAGGTTGATTCCATCGGCGCCAAGTTCGCGCGGCAGGCGACCGGGTTGTACACGATCCTGCGGTCGAACCGGCTCGCGAACGACCCGAAGGCGCCGTACTTGAGGTTGCTGCTGCTGCGGTTGAACTACAACGACTTCTTCTTCAGCGCGGCGGAGGCGGCGCAGAAGAGCGCGCGCGGCGGCGGCGGCGCGTCGGTGAGTTCGTCGATTTCGTCGCTGCGGTCGTCCGTGTTGGGGATGCCACCGAGTTTGTCGTTGACGCGGCGGTGACGGTGGGACGGTGACGATGGTTTAGCGCGTAGGGTGGGCGATGACGTGACGTAGTTCGTAGTATTTACATGGATGATTGCCGCTCCCAGAGCCAGCGCATCGCCTGCGTGTGACCCTCGTTGGCGGCTTCTTTTAAGAGCTGAACGGCTTCGCCTTGTTTGTTAGCCTCACTAGCCTCAGCAGTACTGATATATGCCTTAGCGAGTTCGAACTTGCCCTCCGCTCCGTGATCGGTGCTCACCTTGTGCGTCCAATACCTCGCTTCGCGGACCATATGTTCGCTGAACACCTCGTCTTCCTCCATACGGATCCCGGTCGACATGCAGGAGTTCCCTACGGCGAGGATGACCTGCGCCTCGAGCAGGCCGAGTTCCGCCGCTCGCGTGACGTGCTCGTTGAAAAGCGTAGACTCCCTCTCCCTACCGTAGTGCATCGCGAGCGTCCAAGCGGCCTCCGAGTCGCCGTCATCAGCCAGCTTCTTGAGCTTTCGTATCTCCGCGGGGTTCAGCGTGGACATCGCGACGGTGTGCGGCGTCGAAGCGGCGCGCGGGGAGAGTGTGAAGAAGAAACTCAGATCTGAGGCAAAATTAGGGTTCCGTCGTCGTCGTCGCCGCGGCTTCGAACGCCGCGGACGCGACCACTCCGCGGGTGCATCCCCCGACAACACTTTCAATTTCAACGCGTACACGGTCCTAACGACGCACTGCACTGACTACCGCTCAACTCGATCGCGCCTCTCGCGTCCTCCCCTCGCCGCCGTCGCCTCGCCCCAGGTGCTCGATGACGTCGTCGAGCGCGTCCAGATACTTTGGAAGAAAGTGATCGCTCAACATCGTCTTCGACAGCGTGATGCGATCGTACGCGGCGACGTCGACGTCCGCGTACATCTTATACTTCGCCGCGCGCGTCGTGATCGCCGGCTCCGGCTCCGGCGCGCGCGAGCCCCCCGGAGACGGCGGCGGGACCGCGTCCTCGACGTCGCCGGCGGCAGCGGCGGCGGCGGCGTCGTCGTCGTCTCTCGGAGGATCCGCGAGGACCATGTGAAGGATCGTGCCCGCGGGGTACAGCTTCGTCTTGAACGCGCGGTCGTCCTCGCGCTCCTTCGCGGCGTCCCTGGGGTCCTTCCCACCGCGCGCGCCAGCCCGCGCGGTGACCCCGCGATCCGGCGAGGACGGCGCGTTGAAATTACTCCCGCCCTTCCCCGTCGCGATCCGCCGCGCGATTTCGTCCAAACCGACGCTCACCGCGTCCTCGTCCTCGGAGACGCCCGCGCCCGCGCCGCCGCCGGCGATCGCGTCGCCCACCTCGAACGAGATCGCCTCGGAGACGAGCTCCGCGGGCGCGCCGGGGCCGAGGAGCGCCGCGGCGGAGAGTTTTTTACGCGCCGGGTCCGGCAGCGGCGCGCGCGACGCCGTCTCGTCGTCGTCGTCGTCGAACTCGTCGGCGCCTCCCGACCCGGAGGACGTGTCCATCGCCACCGCCGTCGGCGCGGTCGTCTCCCCGCCCGCGCGCGGCGCGTCGTCCGCCGAGGACGAAAAGTCGACGCCGTCCGCGATGCCGCCGAACGACGACCCGGCGCGTCGGCGGCGGTGCCCCGCGGATTCGGTCGCGGCTCGAATCACGCTGAGCTCCTCTTGGAGCTTCAACACTTCCTGCGCGGTCTCGCCTTGCGCCATCGCGAGCGTCGCGTCGTCGAGATCCATCTCCACGAGGTCGCCGTCGTCGATCGCCCACTGCGAGCTCGGCACCGTCCCGGAGGCGGCGGGCGGCGCCTCGNCGACGGGCGCGCCTCCGCCTCGCCCTCCGCCGCGCCCAGCGCGGTCGCCCGCGGCGGCGGCGGCGGCGGCCGCCGCCGCCGCTGCCGTCGACGCCGTCGGCGTCGTCGCCCACGTTCTCGACACCCCGGGCGGCGACGCCACCGCGGAAGAAGCAGAAGTGGTGGTAGTAGTAGAAGAAGATGAGGTACCGTTACCGCCGGTGGTCGGGACGTCGTCGCCGCCGCCGCCGCCGCTCGGAGGCTCCGGGGCGCCGCGTTTCCTCGGCGCGACGCACCCGGCGATGAGCGCGCCGCTCATGGCGAGCATCTTGTCCTTCTGCACGATCCTCCGTATGCCCCGCAGCTGCGCGCCGAGCCACCGACGCGGGCCGCCCCGCGCGACCGCCCCGGGGAGGTGCGCGCGGTCGACGTCCATCGTCGTCTGCTGCGACAGCGACGCGGCGAGCGACGCGTCGTCGAGCCCCGGGCCCGCCGCCGCCGCGGGTCCGCCCCCGAAGGTCAGCGCCCCGCGGTTCCCTCTCGCCCCGCCGCAGTTCAGCACCCCCCACCCGCCGTTTCCGCCGCCTCTGCGTCCCGGCAGCGTCTGATGCTCCTTCCCCGGCCTCGGCGCGCCGCACGGGTTCGTCGCGCACGCGGCGCCGAGGTTCTTCGTCGTCTCTTTCCACTTTTTCAAAACCTGCTGCTCCCACGCCGCGGACACGATCTGCGCCTGAAGTTCGCTGACTTTGCTGAAGCTCACGTACGGGACGATGTCCGCATTGTTCGCGAGCGTCGTGATGAACGGCTTGCACGCGATGGAGAGCTCCCTGGACACGCACGACGGGCACGCGAATGCGTAGCAGTCTACGCTCGCGAACGGGTTCCGCGACGGGTCGCCGCCGTCTCGTTCGCGTAAGATTTGCGTCAGCAGCACCGCGGTCCCCGCGCCCAGACTGTGCCCGACGATCGTGAGCTCGTACCCCGGGTTCTCGCGCATCACGCGCGCGAGGTCGTCGCCGACTTCTTTGCTGAGCCACCGCGCGGTGGCGAGGAACCCCGAGTGCGCGCGTCCCAGCACGGGGTCGCCGTCGGCGCCGATGGCGTGATGCGGCCGCGAGTGCCCCGTGAGCGACGTGACGTGGTCCTTCACGCTGTGCGTGCCTCGTATGACGAAGTACAGCTGGCGCGTGGGCGCGTCGCGGAATAAAACGTACGCGGGCTGCATGATCCTCGGCTTGAGCTGCGAGAGCAGGACGTCGGAATTGGCCGCGTCGAGCTTCGCGACGATGTGCGCTTCCGAGGAGACGCCGCGGAGGTGCCTGTTGTACCGCATCGCGCGCGAGATGCTCTCGAGCTTGCGTCGCCACTCCTCGCCCTCGACGAGGCGTCCGTGCGCGCGCACGTTCCGCGCGATCGCCGCGGAGACGTCCTTGCCGCTCAGGTGCCGAATCGCGAGGAGGTGGTCGAGCCTCCACACGCCGAGCTTCGAGAGCGCCTCTCGCCACGAGATGCGCACGACCTCGTGCAGCCGGACGACGGACTCCGCCCACGTCTTCGGAGGCTCGGTGAAGTCGCTCACGGTCGCGGTGCGGGTTCCGCCGCGGCGGCTGTACCACATCCCGACCGCGGCGATCCCCGCGGACGCGGCGGCGATCTCCATCGCGCGCGGGCGGAGGAGGAGCCGCGGAGGGGCGAATGCGGATCTGACGAGGCGTTGTTGACTCTTCTCGGAAGTGTCAACTCGTCGTCTTTTCGTGATGACTGCACTCCGCCTGATTGCACTGCAGTTTCTCTACGTTCGTCGATTGGATTCCGTTCGCGCGTTCGCTCGCGCGCCTCGCTCACAGCAAAAGGTCCATCACGGGCGCGCGCGCTTCCGCGCGCTCGTACTCGCGCCCGCTGCCGTCGAACAACACTCCGACGTCGCCCCACGCGCCGTCCTCGCGCGCGATCGCGACGTCCTCCTCCTCCTCCTCCTCCTCCCGCGCGCCCACCGAAGACGCCCCCGCGACCGCCGCGTCGCTCGCGTCGCGCGTCGCCAGCCCGTCCAGCGCAGCCGCCGCGACGTCCCGCCACCGCCGCACGCGCTTCAACGCCGCCGATCGCGTCAGCGCGCGCCGCGCCGTCGGACTCCCGCCGCTGCTCGGCTCCACCTCCGGCATCGGCAGCGCGGCGTACACGCCCGAGGCAAACCCGCGCCACGGCGCTGGCGCGGTAGCGGGGACGACGTCCATTCCGGACACGGTGCCCGCCGTCGGCGACGACGTGAAGTGCAGCGTCACCCCCGGCTCGTGGTTCCGGTCGAGCGCGTCCTCGCGCTCGTCGTCGTCCGAGATGCCGCCGTCGGTGCTCGTGAACGTGCGGTACTGCAGCCGCGCTTTGAACGGCGCGCGGTCGCCGCGTCGCAGCCGCGCGCGCCACGCGAAGCAGCCGAGTTCGGGGAAGAACGCGCCTCCGCCCGGGGACGCTTTCAGGACCTGAACCGTCGCGTCGCCGCGACATGAACCGTCGCCCTCGAGATGCGCGACGCAATACACGACGAGACCGTCGTCGTCGCCGTCGTCGTCGTCGCCGTCGTGACCCGACGGCGTCGGCGTGAGCGACATCTCCACCGCGATCGCGTGCGACTCGCCGCCCTCGCCGAACACGCGCCCGTGCCACGTCGACGCGCGCACCGGCGGCAGCGGGACCAAGTCCTCCGCCGCGCACATCGCCAACGACGTCGCGTTCATCCGTCGCAGCTCGTAACGCATCGCGGGCTCGCACGCGGGGCGCGCGGTCGTCGCGTCGGGGGGGGCGTAGACGGCGCGATCGACGTCGACGCGGAGGCGTTTGATCAGCGACCGGCGCTCGGGCGTCTCCGATCGAAGGTCGTCGATCGTCGGGCTCGTCGTCGTCGCGCGCACGCCGGGGGTCCGCGGACGCGAGTCCGAATCGGGCGCGGTCTTGAACCGCTCCATCCAAGGTGTGATCGCGTCGTCGGCGGACGACGGTATCGGCGCGCGCAGCTCCGCGCGGAACGTCCACGGCGAACCGCCGCCGCCGCCGCCGCCGCCGTCGCCGCCGTCGCCGCGAGGGGTGAACCGCACGGACGCGCGTCCGACGATGTCCACCATCGCGAGCGCGTCGCCGACGAAGACGGCGCTGACTTCCTCCTGAAGCACCCACCGCGCGACCGGCGGTACGGGCGGCGGCGGCGACGACGTGCGAAGGCGCGGCGGCGGCTTCCTCGCGAGTCGAACGTCGTCGAACGACGTCGCGGGAGACGGCGGCGGCGGCGGCGGAATCCTCGCGACCGCGACGGGCGGCGGCGGCGGAATCCTCGCGACCGCGGCGAGGCCCCGCGGCGGCGGCGACGGCGGCGCGATCGTCGCCGTCGACGCGTCCGCGCCCGACGACCCCGGCACGAGCCACGGCCATATCGCGGCCGCGGTCGCGAACTCGTCCTCCCGCGCCGCCGCCGCGTTTAGAGGAAGCTTCCGACGCGGCGTCGACGACGTCGACGTCGACGACGACGACGACGCGGCTGCGGCGTTCACGCCGTCTGCGGATCCGTACCCGGACGAGTTCTTCGACGCCGTGCGAGCGTGCCCCCGCGCGACTCTGATCGGTATCGTGATGTGTTCGCGCGTGGACGCCTCGGGGCCGACGAA